TACCCCCATATATATCACCCTAGTTCCTCTAAATAACTAAAATGTCATATATAGTGTGTATGTAAACATGACTAAAATGAAAGGCAAGTTAAAAATATATAAACATGTACAATAAAAACTAAGGCACTGAGTTGCAGCACAGAAATGTTCTAAAACATTGTATAAACATGTACATGAAGTTCAAGTCAAAGAGGTTGTATATGTGAGTTCGAAGAGGAGCAGAAAATACAAGCCTTGCTGCTCATTTTGGAGTCTCTGAAGGCGATCAAGGTCCCTCTGGCTGAGAACACTGAAGACCCAACCCTTTCTATACTCAAACTGTTTACATGATTTTGATAGACCTTCTGTGTCAAACAATCTCCCCTGTATCGATCGGTATCACTACCCCCACGCCATGATTCGATGTGTAACCTCGTCTATGCCATGTTCCATCGTAGGGCACTGCCACGTCCACATGATCATTTTCCCTGATGGTCAGATCCTTGTCCATGGCCCTTTGACGTAGGCATGCTGCCACCTTCTTCTTCTGATCCTTACTGGTCTGCAACAAAAAAAAGAGTTTGTAATAAATAACAAGTAAATTTCAAGTTCCCTCAGGCCCCTTACTTATTAGACCCTATTACAAATATTTAGATTTGATTAATTTTCATCCCTTGATTTGACAAGAAGGGATATTGATGTACATGTATTATACTGTCTATCGACCATAACTAAGAAATAAAAATATGTTTGGATTAAATGTACGTACAGCTAAGATAATGTAATGAAGAAAACACAAGGCTGGTGACTAACCTCTTGGGATAAGGAAGATAAAGTGGCTATGTGCCTGTTGTAGCTAGGGGCTTCGACTAGTGGGGCTGTTCCGAAGATGGTCAGCAAGTCGCACAAGCTATCCCGTGCCAAACCAACCTCCGTTGCTGCCAGAGTAGCTCTGCGGTTTATTTCTGCAGACTTTCCACGTCCTTCGCATTCATTTTCTGATGAAGAGAATGTCCTCTCCTTCTTGCAAATGAAGCAACCAAGGACCATGGCGCAGTTCAACCCATTCCTCTTTGACAAATTCTCCAGAGGAATGAGATGCCCTGTAAAAGATATCCAAAACACTTTATGGAACAGGGAAAATATTTTGAAAAGCACAATCCCCAAATAATAACAAAGTGCTAGTTATGACATACATGTAGTATATTACACAAATACACATTTTCACAGATTTCACGACAATTCCGATGCCCCCACTTCGATTCACCACAGAGTAAAGGAGGGGTTTTTCGGCCACTTAAGACAAAATCCTATTTTTGGGACTCTTTACTTCCTATTTATTATCATTTCTTGTTCAAATCATGAAGCAAATACTATTATTATTTAAACAAAGAAAGAATCCCAGAAAAAAAATCATGAATTGCTATGACAACATTCATTTCAATTTTCACTGTTTCGGAGGTAGTTTTCGGCCTAGCGAGGCAGTTTTCGGCCGCATGTACAAAGTCAATAGGAAGCAAGCAAGCGCGCCATGCGTTTCTCCACTGATCTATAGCACTAGCGGCCGGAGCAGGTATCCCAAGCCGGAGCTTCCCGTGCTGAAAACTATCTCTGCGGTGATCAGAAATTGGAATCTGAATTAGACAAAGATATCGTGTGTGCGCTGCGGTATCCGGCTGCATTGATTAAATACATGCGATGAGATACTTTTGAGCTTGCGACTCACACAAAATCGGACTCTAAATCTGAAAAATACTTGAAATAAAGCTCATTTTATGGTACCCATACTTAATTTTTCAGATTCGGGGAGCGGGACCGCCGATTACATCGCTAAAATGTGATATTTTAGGATATATTTTCCATTGCAAATGTGGTTCTTCAGTGACTCTGGCATGGTATGGTATGGGTGGGATATATGATATGCTGTTATGCGATGGATTTTACAGGGATTTTACCATGCATCCAACGGATCGGCCGAAAACTGGTGATGGTCGATTACCCCCTCCTTTACTCTATTCTTAATCATTTGATTTGGCTTTTTGAGCCATTCACCCCTTGAGCATGCAATACAATCTCAAAGTAACAGTTTGCAAACTAAAAATATTGTTTGATAGTAAGTACATACCTCCCAGACACACGTGAGCCTTTTGCAAAGCAGCTGCAAGTTGTGGGCCACTAATGACGCGGATCTTCACATGTGGGACCAGGGCCAAAAATAGGGCTGTCCAAACACTTATTCAGGGAAAGCTTCCTCGATCTCTGAATTAGCTGTTAGTTCTTCTGGCACCTCTCCAGCATTCATGTTACTCTTCTGTAATATCTGGTAATGATCTCCTTTGAACACCTTCCTCTTCCTCACATATTTTGGAGTTTTGCGAAGCATCTTCAGTGAGTAGAAATTGGAGACCAACGGCTAGAAGAGTTATTCAAATCTTGGGCACAAGGTGGCAGCAAACAGCCCTTAATTGTTATCTACTTTCTGCTGATATACATTACTTGTTACAATTTGGTTTAGAATTTTTTATTTAATGATTTCTTTAATTGATTGAGACTAATTGAATAAGTGGGGGGGGTGCCGGGGGGGGGGCACCAACAAAAAGGGCACTTTCTGGAGAAAATAAATAGGGCACCTACAAAGGGAAATCTCACAGCGAAAATATATATTTTAAAAAAAGAACCTTTGTATATACCCCCTATATTGTGATTAGATTATCAGGGATGATTTCAATATTTTTTTTATCTTTATAAATAAGATTTGTGAGGTCGCAGTGCGAAAAATTACATCAATTATAAAGAAGAAAAACCCAATCCTGATGGGTTTATTACATTATCATAACAGCAGACTGAAAAGACCTTTGATAAGTACCATAATTATAACATCTAGAAATGCGGGTGTGCTTTGGGTGATATTGCTCTTATAGTAGCTGGAAATTAGGGGCACGTGATGAGAGGAAAAGGGGACACTTATCGAAAAGGGTGACACTTATTAGAAGAAAAAAAGGAGCACATGTCAAATTATAACGGGTAATTATCAGAAGGTGAAAATGGGGCACGTACGTATCATTGTTAAAGGGTAATTATCTGAGGTGAAAAGAAAAGGGGCACTTATGAGAATGAAAAAGGGGCACTAATAATAAGGGGAAATGTTGATTTGTTGTACGAAAAGGGGCACCGATCATTTTTTAATAGGGGCATTTAATACGAGGGGAAGGGGGGGGGATTTATGAGAAGGGGGAAGTGCAGGCTATTATTAAAAAGAAAAGAGGCACATGTCAAGATAAACGGGGCACTTATGAGAGATGAAAAGGGGGTAATTATGGGTAGGGGGTGGGGCACTTATAAAAGAAGGAAAAAGAGCATTTATTAGGAAGGGAAGGGGGCGTTTATGATAAAGGGAAGGGGCTCTCTTTTAAATGGGGCAAAATAAAAGGGGCAGTTATTGAAGATGAAAAGAGCACTTATCAGGAGGAAAAGGGACACTTGTCAAAAATAAAACGAGTACCTCTCAGAATTTAATAGGGTCATTTACTAGAGATGGAACGGGACTATGAGAATGAAGAGGGACTTAAGAATGAAAAGTAACTGTTTTCATAGATGGAAAGGGGGCATTTATGATAAAGGGAAGGGGCTCTCTTTTAAATGGGGGCACTTGTTAGAAAGGAAAGGGGGCACATGTGAAAATATAAGGTGAGCTTATCCGAGTTAAACAAGGGGTAGTTATTAAAAGGGGGAAAGGCCCCTCTCAGATTTGAATAGGGAAATTATCAGAGGTGAATGGGGCACTTATCAAAAGTGAAAAGGGGCACTTCTCGTATCTGAAAAGGGGCACTTATTAGACATGGAAAAAGGGCACTTATGAGAATGGAAAATGGACACTTATTGCAAAGGAAAACCGGAACTTATCGAAGGAAAAGGGGCACTTTAAAAAAAATAATAGGGGCACTTTTTAAAGTAAAGGGGCCCTTTTTATGTAAAAAGTGCCACGTTAGAGCCACCATGGGGTCACTAACCACTAGAAATATATCATAAAGTCATCATCCACCATAGAGCTACTGCTAAAATATCTTACACCACAGGGATATACCATTCAACGGAAATACCATATAATATACTCTACCATATATCATACCATAGAAATACCATACACCATACCCCGCACCATACAGCCACCATAGAGCTACCATAGATCTACCATTCACTTTAGAGCCACCATAGAGTCACTAACCACCATTAATGTACCATAAAGTCATCATCCACCATAGAGCTACCACTGAAATATCCTCCACCATAGGGATACCATTCAACAGAAATACCATAGAAATATATTCTACCATATAACATACCGTAGAAATACCATACACCATACAGCCACCATAGAGCTACCATAGATCTACCCTTCACTTTAGAGCCACCATAGAGTCACATAACCACCATAGATATACCATAAAGTCATCATCCACCATAGAGCTACCACTGAAATATCCTCCACCATAGGGATACCATTCAACAGAAATACCATAGAAATATATTCTACCATATAACATACCGTAGAAATACCATACACCATACAGCCACCATAGAGCTACCATAGACCTACCATTCACTTTAGAGCCACCATAGAGTCACATAACCACCATAGATATACCATAAAGTCATCATCCACCATAGAGCTACCACTGAAATATCCTCCACCATAGGGATACCATTCAACAGAAATACCATAGAAATATAGTCTACCATATAATATATCATAGAAATACCATACACCATAGGACGGCATCAATGATATACCATTGACCATAGAACTCCACCATTCAGCAATTGTGTGGTATACCATAGAAATATATTCTACCATATAATATATCATAGAAATACCATTCACCATAGAGCCGTACCATAGGAATATCATAGATTTTTTTTGTAAGGGACAGCCAAACGACTACCCTAGAAGACTGGCTCTCAGTCGCTGGTTTCTTGACAAATTGACAGATGGAAATGTCAATGCCCAAAGGTACCTTGACATGTTGAATGACTTTGTGGTACCTCAACTGGACCAGGTGTTCCAACGGCAACGACGTGGAGTCTTTCGCAGGGCTTGGTGGGCACATGATGGTGCACCAGCCCATGGAGCAATAGTTGTAAGAGACCGATTGCAGGCACTGTTTGGTCCACGGATCATTGCTCTGCACCAACCACATGAGTGGCCTGCAAGGTCCCCGGATCTGACGCCGTGCGATTTTTTTCTCTGGGGCACACTTAAGGATGTTGTTTTCTCAACACCACCAGTTGACTTAAATGACTTGAGAGCAAGACTCACAGATGCAGTTGACAGTGTACGCCAGGATCAACAGATGATCAGACGGGCTGTAAGAGACATGGAGCGACGATGCGAAGTGTGTATCCAGAGAAACGGTGGCCACGTTGAAGGGCCGGGACCATAATTGGTTGTGTTTGGACCAAGAAAAATGAGAATACGCTTGTTATCAAACTTGGCACAGTGTACCTTTTACATGGTGGACAGCAATGCTTTGTTATTCAGTCAACTGTGACAGTAGTAGTATGATCGCGGTGTCATTAACAAGAGGACATTCTGTCCTTTACAACAGACATAAAATGCTTGATTATGAAATCAGTAGTTTTCATATAAATCGTCATTAAACTTCAATATCCTTTATTATGATACTAATCTTTAGAATTTATCTGTGAATGCTAACTTGTCACAGTGCACCTTTCACATGGTGGACAGCAATGCTTTGTTATTCAGTCAATTGTGACAGTAGTAGTATGATCGAGGTGTCATTAACAAGAGGACGTCCTGTCCTTTACAACAGACATAAAATGCTTGATTATGAAATCAGTAGTTTTCATATAAATCGTCATTAAACTTCAATATCCTTTATTATGATACGCCCTGTATACCTCAAAACTGACGCAACATTGGTGACAGTGTTTTGAGCAAATCACCGTCATAGTATGACTTTCTTCTACAGTAGGGTACATTATGTCATTGAATAATAAGATAAAGAATGAAATGAAGATATAATATTTTTCGGGGTTTATATTTGGAAAATAATTATGCTGAACTACCTGACAACAATTGTAAAATGTAAATGTGAATAATCTTTGCTTGATAAAATAAAAAATTATGTCAAAATTACTCCAGTTCCCGTGATAACCTTTGAAAATGCAAGTTCGATTTTTTTTTTACATGTACATGTTTTACAAAGATGTGAGAACATTTCAACAACAAAAAACAATAAGGGGATCGTATGCAGTAAAAAGTGCTCGAATGGGAATGTATTAAAATGCAGGCTATATTACCTTCGATGTCATCGATGTCAAAGCTGTGAAAACGACTGCGAGTACGAGGAGGACGACGAGTGGTGCATCAACGAAGATAAGTACTTGTTCAATGGTCACTCGACCTCCACACTCCATGGCGTCAGCTACACTGGTCGTAGTCATCTTGACTTCCTTTCAGGAAAAATGACATTTAAATCAGGTTCAATTTCATGTCTTGAATTATTATGTTGGAAAAACTATAGGAATATGCCATTGAGGTCCGATTTTTCGTACCCCGCCCTTTCTCTCTCTCTCTCTCTCTCTCTCTATCTCTCTCTCTTTCTCTTTTCTCTCTCTCTTCTCTCTCTCTTTCTCTGTCTCTTTGATTATTGTATAATCATCAAAGCAGTCAAACAAAATCATGAACTACTTCAAAAAGTAGTGTTGTTAGAGATGTCATAATTAGGTGTTTCATTAAAATGGCAATTTATCATCATTACAAGAATCATCATTACTATTAAGTATTATTATCATATCTTAATCAGAATAAATAGGAATCATTATCTTTACCATGTAATGCCCGGATCCTATAATGCATAGTTAATGATCCCTTTACATTTCTACATCTCATTCTAATCCCTGCACTTGTATATATTATTAATGAATGAATAAATAACATCATACCTGTGTTTACTGACGGTAGAGTTCTTGATTAAAGTTTCAACAGTTTCGACGTGTACTGTAAATTGAAACTCTGATCACTTTGAGAATCTTTACCGTTTCTAAAACAAAACCATAAGTTGAACCTCGAGTGCGCATGTGTATTGCGCCTTTTGCATTGTGATGTCATATGTTGATTATGACGCGAAAATGTATGCGCGTAATGATTATGACGTGTGCACGAAGCTACTGATTCTTTTCTTGTTCTATCATAACTCATATCATAACGTTTTTTAAATATTTCATTACACTAAAGAACATTAGAGAAATTGGTATGATATGAATTTTGAGGGGGAAAAGTCCTTCAAATGGTTTTGACGTTCGAAAATAACATGTGCTTTGAAAATGTTGATAATTATGTGAATATCAGCCGAGCTTTTCACCTATATTTTAGGTCCCTCTCGTATTTACCAGTTTGACATTTTAAATTCTCACATATTTTTACCTTTGCCTTTTTGACCTCTGATATTTTTATTTGTATTTATATGTGTGTTTTAAATGCACAGACAGGGTCCCTTGGAAGATCGATACACTGTATAAAGAAGACTTAAATACACGAATAGATAAATAAATTAAAAAAATAAACAAGTAATGAAATGAACGAATATTAAGAAAAATCAATAAACAAGCTCTCTCTCTCTCTAGCTCTCTCTCTCTCTCTCTCTATTCTGCAACATAATGTAACACGTGTTCATTGTGCGTTGCGTGATATACTGTGCTTTCAATATTCATGCAATCATGTTCTAATATTCACAAAAATCTCACGACCATTAATTATGGTCGTGAGATTTTTGTGAAAAATAGATATCAATTCAATGCAATTCAACATTTATTTCCACTTAAACTGTAAAACAAACAAAAAGTATTATACAGAAATAGTGTAGGCCTATATAATATAGATTCGTATTTTCAAGTATATCGGCTTTCATGGTAGACCTAGTACGGTTACCAAAAAAATATGACCCATGTTTATTTCTAAGTATTCACGCTCTTCAATGCAGTCAAAATTAAAGCCAATACTAGTTAGACCAGGAGGGATTAAACCTTCCATGCGTGGTCACTGTGGCAGGTGGTTATCTCATCAAATCAGCTCTCAATAATTAACATAAGAATAGGGGGATCATGGGGGATCAACGGGTACCGCTTAGGCATTGTTGCCTGTAGAGGGCGCAAGTAGCCACAAGTAGTGCAGTTCCGCTTAAGTGATGTCATATTCCCTTTTTGTTATCATTACACTAGGCAATGCTTAACAAAAGAACTAAATACCCTCCGATGGTTTTGTGTACGTGCTACTTTCAAAGGATACATTCTTGTAACAATGCTTTTGAGAGCGTAAAATTCCTTAGACTTGACCGGCATGACCGCAAAGAAAAACTGAACTAATTTCTAAGAAATGGAAAAGGAAGGCAATCACACACAAAAATCAGCAGTTTGTCGGTAAATTTGAGTTAACGATATGTCCATCCTTCTGTTCAAACGTTTCCGGATTATGGTTTCACATTGTGACATCAAATTTACTTGTGATTTGATATCTTATTTTGAGGTATGATTAAGATGAAACACGAGATTACAATATTATAATGAATAAAAGGGCGAAGGAATAACAAATGGGGATCTTAACTTTGCAATGAGTTAATTTTAAAGATAAACTTGAGTTCTGGTGAGTATAGAAAATAATTTTTCACAGAATCCAACGAAACTTTAAGATTACAAATAAATGACATGTGCCAAACAATTTTTGTAAAAAATGTATAGTGGCTGAGTAATGAGCATAGGAAGATAAGGAAATCCGGGTATATAAAGTAGGCCCGACACCAGGTCACTATGTACAAATGGGAGTTGTGGTTTTTATCGAAGATGATGCCCAGTAAGTTTTTGTGCGTTTTTCCCCCACTGGTTCAAACAACCAATCTACTGCAGAATAAAAAATCCAGAATAATCTTAGCATTTTTCTCTCAGAATACGATTCCCATACCTCAAGATTAGCTTTAATGTATGATAGCAAAAATATAAGAGAAACAGAAAGGGGAAAGTTTGATGTAAATCATACCAATAATGAGAACGTTATGAATGTTTGGTATGATATAGCCTAAATGAGCTCATATATTTATATACGATCTCAAATTGGCAATATCGTCAGTGGATTGTGACGTTGTCACTGACGACTCTCCCGTTTATCGTGTCCTAAATTTCCTACTCCCTTCGGATACTACTTAAAATGTGTTATTATGATTATGGACGTAATATGATTTATAGGTACTATAGGAAGGAAACACCCTCCTGAGTCATACATTTTGAAATATTTACATTTTAGTCATGTTGTGTGTTGAAACAAATGGGAAAGTTGTCCGGCACTACGTCACAGTGACATTATTGAGTCAGCCAATTGGGAGTGCCCATGCGTATAGTGATTACATTCATTTTGGTTTAAGTTTCTTGTTGTTGTCCGATTTTATTCAAACTTTCACCAGTCCGATTTCTTATTTTTCTGCTTTCTTTGTGATCGAGTAGATGTCTGTTTTGGTTGGATTGTCCTTTTAAGGGATGGGAGGGAGAATTGTGATTGACTAAGCCTCATTTTTCTCAAAGCCACCCTTGCAGTGTCCGCACTGTGAGACTAGCCCGACGGCGTACTGCATTATAGTTCTGTACTTTAGCTGACAACAGAGACTACCAGAGCTAGGCTCCGCTCAAAGTTTTAGGTAAATTGTCAAGACTTAGTTAGAGTCTGTGTCGGCAGCTTACTGTGCACGAGTCCTCGAAAAACAGGAGTTGGCATGGGTTTGCATAATGGAAGCGTTGCGAGTATAAACGGAGGGGAATCCCCCCATAATCTGGAATACACAATGACATGAATGACCTTTGATCAGCCTCAGTGTTCACAAGCAAAACAAATATTTTTCTCATCAATATTTGCCTTCTGTTATCTCCAGATTTGATTATAATCATTAGTAGTCAGATAAAAAAGAGTTGTGTGTGCATAAAGCTTTTTTGATGTTTGATTTATAAAATATTTATATACCAAAAACAAAACATAAGCACGAAAACTGAAAGGCAATCAAGGTATAAGTGCGTAAGACTGAAATAAAGACTATTTTAATTACACTGCTAAATACCATTCGTACTTGTGACTTTGAACTTTGGTATTCATTTATCAAGTATTCGCTTTCTGGTAACAAGGACAACTCTATACCTGTGTACGTGTTCACATCGTTGTAAAGGAAGAAACAATCAGTGAGTATTATGTAGATTTCATTTTGTATTATTGTGTCAGTCATACATTTTTGTTAGCTTGTTATTGGTTATTATTAGAGCGATACAATTGGAGAAGGCATCATTACACTGGTTTGATTTGATATTTTGAGGTGGCTTAAAAGTTTAGGGTATCCTCAAGTTGACCGTATACTGCAGTTGCCAAGAGCATTTCGATCTACGTTAT